ATGAACATGAATAAAATATCAAAATGCCATGTGGATTTGTATAACAAATATTGTAGTTATGCCGAACACTAAAATATTTTATTGTGAAGTAAAAAAACTTTTTTCTTTTTTTTTTTTCTTTAATCCACAGAGTGGACTGGAAGAGTATGTAAATAATTCACTGTTAGAAAGATTGGGATGCCAGAAAAAATTACAACTCCTGGACTTCTGAAATGTAATAATTTTAATTATATTTGCTTATTGGAGTCAAAAAGTTGAGAACCACTGATCTAGTATGTTTGTGGAGGTCTCTGGGCTAACAAGAGACTGGGCTGGGTGGTTTCTGGGTCTGTTCAAATTAGAAAACCTATGATAACTCACCCAGTGTCTTGATCTCTATTGGATCACAGCCATTGAGCTCTGTCATGCCCTGCACTTCTGTGAAAGTGACGAAATCTCCACTCTCAAATCCATGCCGTGCTTCATCCAGACATGTAACCACACCAGCACTGTCCTTTTCACACACACACCACACAAAAAGAGCAAAAGGTTCAGACAGCCAGAAGTTTAACAAATGTCAATGTGACACTTCATTCGCTCTGACTCTACAATAATCAAGGTTTAAAAGTTACCATCACACAGTATAATTTAGCCAAGTCCAGTTAACAATTTTTACCTTTGTGATCATTGAGATCATGGCGCTCAGTGGCTGCTCTCCATTGATGTCAAACACTGTCATTTCCTCCCCAAAATCACAGAACAGTTGCCTATTGAAATACAGAACATACATGAGACAAAATAATACCCAAAAACCTTAACTCAACACAAAACAAGAAAGGTATTCTACCCAAACAGCCCACGCGTGTCTGCCACGATCAACTTAATGCCATTACTATGGCAGAAGTCACCAACACGCATCTGCTCATCGAGGCTGGAGTTGGTGAGCACAACAACCTGGTCAAACACACAAACGCCCGTTATCCTACTCTCTTAAATGCATTAAATTTTAATGCAAAGTTCTGTATGCATGTGGGAAAAGTAGGATTTAGTCCATGTGTTGAGCTTATGGATGTAGTCCAGTGGATCCATAACAGTACCTGAAATTTGGTCAGGGATTCGTTGGTGAGGGCGCCAGTGAAGGAGGTTACAGGCACATAGCTGTTGAGTTCTGCCAGTCGAAGCTGACTGACCTCCGCACGGTTCTTCCCAAGATCCTCCTCACGCAGGTAAAACTAAGACATGTAACAAACCCTATTATTTTTATTACTACTACAATTAACATCACACTACATTTCAATTTCCTTATTCCTAAAATTATTTTTTTTAGTCCACTGAATATTGTTATATAATGTCTTAATTTGTTAATGTTCACTGCTGTTCAAAAGTTTTGGGTCAGTAATATTTTATAATGTTTGTAAAAGAAGACTCTTATGCTCAGCAAAGCTGCAATTATTTAATACAGTAATATTGTGAAATATTAATACAACTTACATTTTTCTATTGCAATACATTTTAAAATGTAATTTATTCCAAAGCTGAATCTTCAGCAGCCATTAATCCAGTCTTCAGTGTCACATGATCCTTCAGAAATCATTCTAATATGCTGATTTGGTACTCAAGCAACATTTCTTATGTCGTAAAAACATTTGTACTGTTTAATATTTTTGTGGAAACTAGTGTTGGGCCGATAGACGATGCCATTGTCCATCGCCGATGTTGCGCCGGCATCGTGATCCCC